CTCGCTGTAGTCCCCCACTCCGCCACTAGATGGGGCACACAGCCTGAAATTTACTGTTCTGCCCGGGAACCAGGTTTTGCGGGCCCTGTAATCGCAACCTTGGGGACTGAGACAGGATTTCCAGTTCCAGTCTAACCCAGGTTACATAGAGAGACCCAGTCTTCAGTAAATAAATTAATTAAAAAGTAAAAGTCGGGGCTGGAGAGATGGTTCCGTGGTTAAGTGATCTGGTGGCTCTTCTCACTTTCCAAGCATGCACGCAGGCAGAACACTGTATACGTAATAAATAAAGATATTTTTTAAAAAGAAAAAAAGTGAAAGTCATAGGGAACAAAATCACCTGTGCACTGTTAGGTGAAAAATAGGGAAGGAAGATCAAGTGAATGTTCCTATCTCCAACGTTCAACCCAATGATGCCAGCTATTATCGACCAGACTAAGCGTGTGACACTCCACGCTTTTGTTGTCGTAGGTTTTTTTCGAGACAGGGCTTCTCTGTGTAGCTTTGTAAACCAGGCTGGCCTCGAACTCAGAGATCCGCCTGCCTCTACCTCCCGAGTGCTGGGATTAACGGTGTGTGCCACCAATGCCTGGCTATATCTTAAGTTTTTTTTTTTTAAAGATTTTATTTATTTATTATATATACAGTGTTCTGCCTGCATGTGCCCCTGCATGCCAGAAGAGGACACCAGATCTCATTACAGATGGTTGTGAGCCACCATGTGGTGGCAGATTTTGAGACCGGGTTTCTCTGTGTGACAGTTCTGGTTGTTCTGGAACTCAGAGATCTGCCTTCCTCTGCATCCCAAGTGCTGGGATTAAAGGTGTATGCCACCACCGCCCGGCTTATTTTTATTTTTTATGTATGAGTATTTTGCCTGCATTATGTATGTGTACCAAATGAGTGCCTAGTGTCCAAGGAGGTCAGAGAAGTGTTGGATTCGTGGAATTGGCTTCACAGATGATTGTCACTATGTGGGTGCTGGAAATTGAACCTGTGTCCTCTCCAGGTCCTCTGCAAGAGTAGAATGTGCTCTAAAGCACTGCACCATCTCTGCAGCTCCTAATTATTATTATTATTATTTCAAATGTTTTCAATTTACTTTGAAGGATTTTTTTTCTGGTTTTTCGAGACAGGGTTTTTCTGTGTAACAGTTCTGGCTGTCCTGGAACTTGCTTTGTAGATCAGGCTGGCTTTGAATTCAGAGATCCTCCTGCCTCTGCCTCCTGAATGCTGGGATTACAAGCATGTGCCACCTGCCCGGTGAGGTGAAGGATTTACTTTAAATTATGGGTGTGTGGGGGTGAGTACGGTGTCCACAGAAGCCACAGGCTTGCATCTCCCGGAGATGGAGTTACAGGCTGCTGTGAACCATTTGATGTAGGTGCTGGGAACAGAACGCAGGTCTTCTGGAGGAGCAGCAAGTGCTCTTCACCTCTATGCCATCTCTCCAGCACTTCTTAATTTCTGAGACAGGGCTTACTCTGCAGCTAAGATTGGCCTGGAACTCACATCATAGCTTAGGCTGAAATCAGCTTTCAGTGAGTTTCCTGCCAGCCTCATGTGTCCTAGAATTACAGGTGTGACCCACCACACCCATCGGATATTTACATTTCTATATCCAATTAAATTGTTTTATACATACATATTAAACTATATACCCGAACTATGAACTCATAGCAATCCTCCTACCCCAGTCTCTTCCACCTGTGACTATAGGTATGGGCTACCATGCCTGGCTGCAATTAGACTCTATTTTCTGAAACAGGAGGAAGCATTTCCCAAGGAGGTGACCAAACCAGGCCCCCTACCTACCAATTTTAAAACATTTAAAAAATTTTTTTTTTGTTTTTTGAGACAGGGTTTCTCTGTGTAGCTTTTGGAGCTCTGGAGACCAGGCTGGTCTCGAACTTACAGAGATCTGCCTGCCTCTGCCTCCCGAGTGTTGGGATTAACTGAACAGAATCTTGAAGGGGTTAAATTCTCCCACTTTCATAACTGAATTTATGTTTCAGTTCTCTAAAAAGGACACACAGGTGTTTCTCCCAACAAAAGCCAATTATCCAGTGTATCCTTGCATTCAGGGGTGAAGGAAAAAAAAATCACATCAAAGGCCTGAGTCTGTCCCACAAGGTCTCAAGGACAGTTCCTGCAGCCCTTTTCTGAGTCACGACCAGACTTGCCCAAACTTGTGCAGCTATGCCCAGAAATAATAAGACCAAACCTCAGCCAATTAGAAACATACTAAAGTAACTGCTGCTTGCTTAACCAATTAGGTAGCTGTCCCTGAAACTCCCCCGCACATCCCTCTTGGGGGGGGGTCATCACCATTTTGTATAGGTGAACGACTCCACATGCATGCTGGCATAATAAATACTATTTGAGTCTGGGGTCTGTCTTCAGTATTGCCTTGGACCCTACAATCTTCATGAAGGAGCAGCTGACTAGTACATTCATCCTCTTCCGCTTGGCTTGAGTCCACACACCAACTCTCTACACGACTTGGCTTCCGTGATGCTCAATGTGAGCCTGCAGGTTCATATTGAGATCTTCTGAAGGCTGCCTCCTGACTGACAAGTGTCATCCCAAGATCACTGCATTGGAGAACACAAAGTATGAAGCACTGGAGAGAGACCCTGGGTACCTGCCTGGCAAAAATGGATGGGAAAGGAGGAAATGTCTTGGACAAACTATTATGTAGCTCAATAAGAGGATCGCTGTCCCGAGTGGAGCCCCATGACCATAATCCCAACTCTCAGAGGAGGCAGTAGATGGAGTATCAGAATTTCAAGTCATCCTCAGTTACATGAGTTCAAGACCAGCATGGGCTATAGGAGACTCTGCCTTGGTTGGCGCACACCTGTTACAGGCAGGAGAATCTCTGTGAGTTCGAGGCCAGCTTGGTCTATATATCAAGGTCTAGGACAACATAGTGAAACCCTGTCTCAAAAACACCAGAACAGAAACAAAGACAAAATGCCAAGAGGCTGGAGTGCTACAGTTACGAGCACTCACTGCCCTTCCAAAGGACCTGAGAGCACACCTTTAATTATGTTTAATTATGGCACTCAGGCAGAGGCAGCTAGCTCTCTGAATTCAAGCCGGCTCCGTCTACACAGCAAGACCCTGTTTTAAAACAAAACCACTTGTTCGGAGGGGATGGTAGCACACACTTGTTCAAGTTCATGCTCAACTACACAGCAAGTTTGAGGCCAGCCTTGGCTACATGAGAGCCTTTCTCCAAACAAACAAACAAACAAAAAACAAACTATAGAATGCTTTAGAAACTTTTTTTTTTTTTAAGATTTATGTATGAGTGCTCTATCTGCATGTACACCTTTATGCCAGAAGAGGGCACCAGACCCCACTAGAGATGGTTGTGTCTGGGAATGGAACTCAGGTCCTCTAAGAGAGCAGTCAGTGCTTTTAACTGCTGAGCCATCTCATCAGCCCTAGAAATCTGTTTGTTTTGGTTTTTCCGAGACAAGGTTTCTCTGTATTGCTTTGGGACCTGTCCTGGCACTCTCTCTGTAGACCAGGTTGGCCTCGAACTCAGAGATCCACCTGCCTCTGCCTCCCAAGTGCTAAGGTTAAAGGTGTGTGCCACTACCACCAGGCTTTGTTTTGTTGTTGTTATGAGACAGGCTTCATTACATAGCCTTGGCTGACCTAGAGGTCACTATGCAACAAGCTGGCCTAAAACTTGTGGCAATTCTCCTGCCTCTGCCTCTTCTGTGCTGGAACTCCACACCTGGCCTGACCCCTTTTTTAAAGTTACATTTATTTTATGTCTGAATATTCGTATGAGTGTGCACATGCCATGGCACACGTGTAGAGGTCAGGACAACTTGTTGAATTTGGTTTTCTTCAAGTCATCAGGCTTGGTGCTAAGTGCCTTTACCTGCATCTCACTGGCCTTTTATTTTTCTTCAAGTCTCATGTGTCCCAGGCTAGCCTCAAACTTGCAAAATACTCCTGCCTCTGCTTCCTCAGTGCTGGGATTTTAGATGGTGTTGTTGCTCAACGTTTACATGGTCCAGGTTGGTCTCAAACCGGAGCTCCTCCTTTACTGAGGGCTTACAAGCATGTGCCACCATGCCCAGCCCATAGCTCCTTTTCATTTCATTCTTGAATATCCTTAGACTTGACTGCCGCGCCTTTCCTTCCTGGGTTGTACCCCAAGCCAGGGACAGATTTATATTATTAGAGGCAGTTCCTTCCCCAGCAGAGATGGCTGCTGGGATGCCAGGGGTCTTTTGCGGGTATTCATCTTTAGGCTTCATGAAGAACTTGCATAGCAATGCCTGTCTGCCCCACGGCCTTCAACCTAGTACTTTGGCAGCTGGAATTTCTGGCAAGTATTTAGGAAATGCTTAGTGCTCTCCACAGTAAAGGTAAAATTAAGGGATGGAAACAGGAGAGATAAGCAGTTAAACACAGAATGACACAATTAGGTGACATGATGGAGCATAAAGACCAGAAGCTTTGGATTTAGGTGACTTGAGTCCAAATGTCAATCTTTGGGCACCCTTCAGTTCAGGTCCCATAGCTGTAATGGGGAATAGTGATAACAATGTCCTTGTAAGTAGGGAGAGTGAAATTAGGATGGCACAACAGAAAAAACCTTCCCCTCCGATAACATAAAGTCTTCATGCAAATAGATTACAAAAATACATGACACAAGCCTGGTGCTGAGTTCAGCTCCTGGAACCCACTTGAAGGTGGAAGAACTAATTCCACAGATGAGCCACGGAACTCCTGTTCCCACACACAAACACCATACACATCAAACCTAAATTAAAGCAGTACAGGGGCAAAACCGTAGCACTTTTTAGGGAATTTGACCAGGCAAAAACAAATACATACAAACCACTACTGCCACCAAATCCTGACTTGATCAAGGGCAAAGAGGAAGTAGACAGTTCCTAAAGAACTACTGACCTAGATTACAAAGGCTGATAGGACTAGAGAAACTTAGAAAGCAGAAGGGAGATACGGGCTCTGCTGAGAAACTACACAAAATATTGTAATTTTATTATCGATCACAGATAAATCATTATTTATGATATTTTACAATTTTTTTCCCCTAGGGGTGGTGCTGAGGATCGAACGACAAGGCCCCAGACAGGCCAGGCACACAGTCTACGACTGAACTGCATCCCAAGCCCTGAAACACTGTTGTGTTTCATAGGGAAACTGCACTTATTTCCATTAAATGTCAATGACTCGTAAGTTAAAGTGTACTTCACTTTAAGAGTGAAGTGGCAGTTTAGTTCACCCATCTCCGGTGAGTGCTGCAGCATGTGCCCGCCCGCTGCCAGCTACCACACAGGGGAGTCACTTTCACAGATGTGCAGGAGTGTGGTCTGTATGGAGACCAGTAATAATCCCTGGCCCGGCCCTGCTGCTGAGTACCTTCCCTGTCAGACACTCTTCAGGTCAAGTGGTGTCAGCGGGTCACAAGGGGACTGTGCCACTCATCACTGTGTGTGCTGTGTGTTCTTGAGTGACAAGGATTTTTCTGAATGCTTTCATTTCCAAAGACTGTCAGTCCTGAGAGGGTCACAGAGGAAAGTGACTTTCCAGAGATAGTACCTGACATCAGTTGTTGTTCTCTGTAACTGGAAAAGCACTGTCTGTGTAAGGATTACCTCAGCAGGAGGATTTCCACTCTCATCTTAGACTCACACTAAAACTCCCTTAGAAGAAAGGGGAATCAGAATTCCTAACTGGAATTACAGTTCTGGCCCTAGGACTCTCACAGCTGCTTCTGAAGGAGAGGACTGCTTCCAACTGAATTAGCAGGAGCCTCAAGTTCAGTGTCTTCCAGAACTCCCTCACAGTGACTTGCTGCCAAGAAGAGAACGGGGCCCAACCTGCATTTTCTAAAAATCAGACATGCCAGAGTGAGCTGGGCATCAGCTATGCGTGGTAAGTGATTTTGTTAACACAGTGGGACAGGTACACTGTGGTGGGCTGGGGCGGCTCTCTGCTTGCTTTCAACGTCCTCAGCTTGGCTGTGTGCATGCTTTCCAGGCACACTTCCCTGGGCGACAGCACCTCTAGTCCTGACACACTTTCTCAGATTTTATTATTAAATTGATTTGTGTTTGGGCAGGGATGCGCACAGTTCATGTGTGGAGGTAAGAGGACAACTTGTGAGAGGACTGTTCTTTCCTTGTACCGTGCGGGTCCCCAGCCTCACTCAGATTGCCAGGTGTGATAGCAAGCATCTTTACCTGGTGAGCCATCTCTCAGGCCCCTGACACTATTTTTGATGACAGTCTCTGGCACATCTTTCTAATACGCTAAGAGGAAAACAGACTTTGCCTCCATTTGGCTGACCACCTGAAAAGAGTTTAAGAAAAATAAAAATGTCTGTAAGGGTCCCTCTGGCTCTGCGGCTTGTACTGTAGAACATGAGGCCCTCTACCTCTTGAGAGCAAGGCATGTGGGGTCCAAGGTCAGGGTTCTCTCTCATCAAAAGGCATCCTTGATGTTCTTGAGCTGGCGCACCGCCAAGTCCACAGGAAGGCTGAACTTGAGGCTGCTGAGGCGGCTGAGCAAGTTGAGGGCACTTTCAAAACCTGTGTGGGCCATGTAGCTCCAGGGCTGGTAATGGGACTCGATGAGGGAGCCTGACTTGCAGATGAGGTTCACCCAGGACACCAGGCGTTGCTCATTCAGGGCCATGCACACCAAAGCCTTCAGCTCCGAGTCAGCACTGCGCTTGAAAGGGTCATGCTCTGTCAGCACCAGGTGGATGGCTGTCAGAAGGCTCTGTTTGGGGGTCACAGCACTACCACCCATTACAGGCAGCGCAAAGGACTGTGAGAGCTTCCGGGCTGGGGAGTCCACATATGCACGGCCATTCTTGGCATGATAGTACTTCACAAAGAGCTCCCAGGGATGCATGGTCTCAGGGGCTGAGGAGAAGGCTGGCAACAAACAAGCAATGGGGGCCATGACAAGACTCATCCCAGAGGAGGTGGCGTAGAGGCCATGGGCCAGCAGGTCCCTCACGGCCACTGTCAGTTCCTTCCGCACAGCCATGGTTAGCTCGTCCTTGCCTCCTAGAGAGAGGTCCTGGAGGTTGGCCGAAGTGATGACATGGTCATGTGGCTGATGTCTCAGGGCTAGCTGCTTCACTCTGTCTACTGACACTTCCAGCCTTTTCAGTAAGGGGGAGTAGTCTCTGTCTGCCTGGTCCCTCTGCCACAAGGACTGAGGGATCTGGCCTGTGGCACAGCCCAATTGGCTAACAGCAAAGATCTGGAGCACAGCCAGCGCTCGGCGCATCAGGTGTAACCCTGTTTCCCGGACTCTCTTCACGTCTTCTGCCTTTGCTGCTTAGAAAACAGTGATTCGTTAGAAAGAGGACAAAATGACATAGAACATTCAACAAGTCACAAGCCGAGAGCAAGTTTTGCTCCTAAACCACAGTACAGGTGCCACACGAAGGCAAGGATGTAGCTGGACTGACTTATTTTTGGCTGATGATACTAACTGTAATTGAGATACTGTGCAGACATATACAATTCAGGCTGTTAATTTTGTCACCCAGGATCTTGCTATCGTGGCAATCATCACCTGTCAGCCTCCCTACTGCTGGGATTTCAAGCAGACACCACCATGTCCAGGTTGGCCTCAAACTCTATCTCCCTGCCTCAGTTTCTCCAGTGGTAGGATTATAGGTAGATGCCACCATGCTCAGCTTCTTGGTTTTGTTTTTTGGTGTTCATGAATATATCCAGGGCTCTAGGACTCCACCCACACTAGGTATATACTAGCCACTCCTCCCAGACCTAGTCATTTTTAAAAAAATATACTTAAGAATTGCACATACGCCGGGCGTTGGTGGCGCACGCCTTTATTTCCAGCACTCAGGAGGTAGAGGCAGGCGGATCTCTGTGAGTTCGAGACCAGCCTGGTCTCCAGAGTGAGTGCCAGCATAGGCTCCAAAGCTACACAGAGAAACCCTGTCTCGAAAAGACACGCCCTCAGGCTTGTCAGCAAGCCCCTTTGGCTGCTGAGCCAGTCTCACAATCCTTTCTTTTGGTCATATAGAATTTCCATATGTAGTCCAGATTGGCCTTGAACTTTTTTTTTTCAATTATTTAAGGGCATTGGTGTTCTGCCTGTGTATATGTCTGTGTGAGGGTGTCAGATTGTTGGAGTTACAGACAGTTCTTAGCTGCCATGTGGGTGCTGGGAATTGAACCTGGGTCCTCTGGAAGAGCAGGCAGTGCTCTTAACTGCTGAGCCATCTCTCCAGCCCCCAATCTTGAACTTTCAATCCTCCTGCTTCTACTTCCCACTTTCTGCTTTTGTAGCCTGTGCGTTCTCGGAGCTGTACTTACTTTTGCCAGCTCCTGGGGGCACAGAGCTGCTGCCGGTTCTGGTGAAGCCGTTTCCTGACTTCCCGCTGGCCTTGCACTCACAGTGTCCACTTGTCTGCATGGGGCTTCCCACTTCATCTATTATCAGAAGTCACAAAATCAAAATCAAGACACTTTATTTATCCCCTTCATAGCAGATTTTGATTTTTTTATTTTATTTTTGGTTTTTTCAAAACAGGGTTTCTCTGTGTAGCTTTGTAGACCAGGCTGGCCTCGAACTCACAGAGATCCGTCTGCATCTGCCTCCCAAGTGCTGGGACTAAAGGCGGGTACCACCACTGCTGGGCCTCAAAGCAGATTTTTAAAGGGAAAAGGAATAGTTAATCCTGCCTCGTATATGACTAGAATTTTATAAATTACTGTTTCACTGTGTGAAAGATGCCTGGTACAGCATAGTTGGCTCACTAAATATTTGCTTAGCAAACGAAGAATGAATCATTCCTAGTGAAGAGAGTAAGACTAAGGGGGAGGAATCTGCTCAAGGACACGAGGACAGCAGTGGCCCTGAAAGACACACTCAGAGACAATGTTCTTTCCATTCTTCTATGGCATACATAAGAGGTCTCGTGCAGGCTAGCCTGGCGCTCATTCTAACAACAGGCTGGCCTATAACTGAGAGATCTGCCAACCTCTGCCTCTCTGCATTTGAGGACTAAAGGCATGGAGCACCACACCCTTTTCAAGTCTTAAATTCTCTTAAACACAGTGACAAGTGGCCCCTTTAGATATGAGTTCTCAGACTACACAAACTACTGCACTGTTCAGGCTTCCGCTTCCCAACATTCCTCTGACCTTGGATGAAGCTGATGAACATCTCAAGGTCTCGGATCTGGGTTTTCAGTTGCTCAACCAACTGTTCCTTCACCCGAGCTGGGTTGACAATCTGAGCCACTGCTGCATCCACACGCTGGCGCAGCTCCTCGGTTGACAGGGAACTGATGTCCTCATTGAGATTCATGTCCAGTTTCTTTATTAGCTCATCGATGATCACCTATCAAAACCACAGCAATGAGTGTACCCTTTGTAATTCTCAAGGAGGGCAAGGAAGGAGAATCTTAGCGAGGCGTCTATGCTCAAACATAAAATGGAACAGACCTCAGGATTCAGGAGAAAACGATGCCGCTGCTGATTAAGATGAGGATGGCCTGAGAGATGGCTCAGCAGATAAATGCACTTGTTATACAAGCCTAGTGACCCAAGTGAAATCCTCAGAACCCACATAAAGGTGGAAGGAGAGAATGTGGCTGTGGCCACACTCATACAGTAATTTAAAAAGAAAGACAAGGCAGGGCGGTGGTGGCCTATATAGCAACTTAGTGGCCAGCCTAGGCTATATGAGAACTGTCTCGAAAAACAAACAAGCTAGGCAGTGGAAGCGCACACCTTTGATCTCAGAACTGAGGAGGCAGAGATGGGCAGATCTCTGGGAGGTCAAGGACAGCTTGGTCTACAAAGTGAATACCAAGGCAACCAGGTTACATAGAAACCCTGTTTCGAACAACCAACCAACCAACCAACCAACCAAAAAAGCAAACAAACAAATAAAAAAAAATCCCAGCATTCGGGAGGCAGAGGCAGAGACAGGTGTATCTCTGTGAGTTCAAAGCCAACCAGGTCTACAAAGAGAGTTCCAGGACAGGCTCCAAACCTACACAGAGAACCCCTGTCTCGAAAAAACAACAAAACAAAACAAAAGAACACATAGTTCCTTTTGATCAGAAATGATACTACTTACCGGGCATTGGTGGCGCATGACTTTAATCCCAGCACTCGGGAGGCAGAGGCAGGCGGATCTCTGTGAGTTCGAGACCAACCTGGTCGCCAGAGTGAGTGCCAGGATAGGCTCCAAAGCTACACAGAGAAACCCTGTCTCGAAAAAAAAAAGGAAAAAAAAAAGAAATGGCACTACTCATGCACTGTGAACTCACCATGCCAGCTAACTTTCACCATTAGAACAAGCTGATGATCCAAAGTGGATAAAGGTCCAATAGACTCATATTTGGGCTGGAGAGGTAGGCCATCGTGAAGAGTACTAGCACTCTTCCAGAGGACCAGGTTTGGGTTCCCAGCACCCATATGGCAGCTCACAAGCTCACAACCTCTGTAACTCCACTTCAGAGGGCCTGCCACCTTCTTCTGGCTTCTACAGCTCTTCAAGCACATGGTACAAAGACCTATATGCAGGCAAAACACTCATACACATCAAATAAAAATAAGTAAAATCCCCCAAACCTTGGGAAGCAGAGGCAGGTGGATCTCTGTGAGTCCGAGGCCAGCCTGGTCTACAAAGTGAGTTCCAGGACAGTCAGAGTTACACAGAGAAATCCTGTCTCAAAAAACAAACAAAAAATCCCCCAAACCTCATACTTTCTCTAAAGGCTTCCAAGTGACTATATCCCTTTTATTGATGAAAACAAATGATAATGGAACTTTGGAAGGAACGGAACAAGAGAGACTGGTTCCAGGAAATAGTAAACTTTCCCTTTGATTGGACCCACGATTCTTGGTAAGGCCATGGGAGAAGTGTACTGAGGGGAGGCTATGCTGGAGCCACCAGCAGGAATACATTAACCATAAGAAATGCTGGAGTCACTTCTGAGGTCTGCTCACCTGCTGTCTTTCCAAGACCACGGACTGCGGCAGGGAGTCATAACTGCCCTCCTGATATGCAAAGGTTTCCAGGTCATCAAGCTGGGTCTTGAGCTGCAAAATCAATTCTTTCTGCTTCTCCCTCTGGGTTTCCAGGCGCTCTCGTTTTTCCTGCTCACTCTATGAAGAGAAAAACCACTTGGGTCTATTTCACAGAAAAGAGAAGCCAAAAACACCTTATAAGACTTGGGCCAATAATGACCAGAAAAATATATAATGCTTCCAAACGATTCAATGAAAACAACTGACAAGGCAGTGCAACAATAAGAATATTAACTCAGGGCAGTTGATTACATGTGTGTTTTCTCTTTTTGGTTTTTGGAGACAGGGTTTCTCGTGTAAGCCCTAGCTGTCCTGGAATTCACTCTATAGACCAGGCTGGCCTCAAACTCATAGATCCACCTGCCTCTGTTTCCTGAGAGCTGGGTTTAAAGGCCTGCACCCCTACATCACTACATGTGTGATTTAAAAAAGTGATCACCCCTTCATTGGAAACAGGATATAAATACAATGGAGCCTTTTGTTAAAAGAATTCTTGTTTTTCAAAGGTCTCATCAGGAGAGAGAAAACTTAGGTATGATGGCCTCCTGGAGTTAAAGGTGTCATCTTCATGGCCAGTCAAGACAGTATAACTTCCCACTACTCAGTGTAAATCAGTTTTACAAAACAGTCTGGGGGAATGAGCCTGGTATGGAGGCTTGTGTAAACTCAAGGATAAGAAGTTCTAATCCAGCATGAGCTAGATAGCTAGTCTGAAGCTAGGCTGGGCTAATGAGACCCCCATCTCAAAAAGCAAGGATGGGGATCTGAATATAGACAAAGACTTTATATAGAGAGAAATCAACCAGTTTTCTGAAATTTCAAAGCTACTTGGAAAGGTTATAGCTATTTCTGTAAAAGGGGAAACAATGACATGTAAGTACCTAAGGCACAGAAATACAGAGACTCCAAGTTACAGGGGTGGGAAGGTGACAGTGTGGTGCGTGGGCATATGTATAGGTTAGGTTTCTCTGAGGATAACCCCCTTTTCATGGCAGTTACCACATAACTTCTGTCTTTAAGTTATTAAAAGTCTGTTATTAAAAGTCCTTTACAGTGATCAAGTCTTGACAACATGTTCTTAGATACTGGGTCTAAACAAATCAAAAAGCAGCCAGGCGTTGGTGGTGCATGCCTTTAATCCCAGCACTCAGGAGGCAGAGGCAGGCAGATCTCTGTGAGTTCGAGGTCAGCCTGGTCTCCAGAGTGAGTGCCAGGATAGGCTCCAAAGCTACACAGAGAAACCCTGTCTCGAAAAACCCAAAAAAAAAACCAACCAAACAAACAAACAAAAACAAAAACAAAAAGCAAGCCAGACATGTCTGTACACCTGTACTCCTACTCCTCAGTGAGTTTCAGGCCTGGACTACATACATATACAGACTGAAACAATCATCACTGAAAAAAAAATTAAAAACAAACAAACAAACAAACAAACAAAGGAGCAGAGGCAGTAAATCCCTTGTAGGCATAAGGCTGCATTTTAAACTAGGATACACAGTATTAAACTTAACTGTAAAGTGGTACTTACCAAGCCCTCAAGAAGCAAGGTATGAGAGAGAATAGATGAAAAACAAAGAATTAACTTTTTGTTCAACTTCTTAAAAAGCAATCCCCTTTTTTAGTTTTGCTGAACATGAAAGCAGCCTCAGGATACTCTTCCGATCCTTCCTGAGTCTACTGCTTTTTCTCAAAGCCCCATTCTTTTTCTCAGCTTAGTAACTAGGTCTTCACTGAAAGCTTTCTCTGATTTTCTCCAGGCAGAACAAGTCATTTCTTCCTTTGTATTGTGTACACTTACTCATTATAGTATTTGTTTAGGACCTGTTTCTATTAATCTACAAACTCCTAAAGGGCAAAGGTCTTGACTTCCAACCCTAATATACCTAGAGCTGTGCCCAGTATGAAGTGAATTCTCAGTATGTAGTTCTTTTCTGACTTAAAAAACATTTTTTAAATTTCAGTCGGGCAGTGGTGGCTCACGCCTTTAATCCCAGCACTCAGGAGGCAGAGGCAGGAGGATCTCTGAGAGTTCGAGGCCAGCCTGGTCTTCAAAGAGAGTTCCAGGACAGCCTCCAAACCTACAGAGAAACCCTGGCTTGAAAAACCCAAAAGAAAAAAAATTTAAATTTTATTTTTTGCTTATAGTATTTTGCCCACACATATGTCTGTGCACCATGTGAGGGCCTGATGTCCATGGAGGCTGAAAGAGGGGGTCTGATCCTTTCCAACAGGGTTTACAGACAGTTGTGGGCTGCCATCTGGATGCTGGGAACCAAACCTGGGTCCTCTGGAGGAGCAACCAGTGCTCTTAATCACTGAGCCATCTCTCCAGTCTTCAGTACATATTTCTTATACGTTTTTGGACTAAATTAGGTACAGAATAACAAATTCCAAAAATGAACTCTGGCTGGAGGATATTATCTAATCAGTCAAAAAAGAAAGAAAGAAAGAAAGAAAGAGAGAGAGAGAGAGAGAGAGAGAGAGAGAGAAAGAAAGAAAGAAAGAGTCCATTTTTGTCATCCTTCTGTGAGGCCAAGGAAGAAAGAAACCAGCTATAAATCCGTATTTGTTTCCATGGCTACATCTGCCAAAGTCTGTCACTTGCTGTCATAGTTGCAGCATATTTGCAGGAGTTGGGCAAACAAATTTAACAGAAAGAACAATAAGTTCTGGGGCAAGGCAGGAAATAATAGATTTAATTTCCAGTGCAAAATGAGATAAAGGTTAAAGTAATTTGGAGAGGCTTGGGATACAGCTAAATTGGTGGAGCAGCTGCCTAGCATGCACTAGATGCTGGGTTCAGAGACAAGCACTGGATAACTGGTCCCCATGCCGGTAATCTCAGTATTCAGAGGGTGGAGGCAGGAGACACTCACTTATATTTAAGAAAATACTTCAAGATTATTCTATAGCAAGTTCAAAGGCAGCCTTAGCTAGAGAGCCTGCCATTAAAAAAAAAAAAAATTACAGGCCCAGTAGTGGCATTTGCTTTAAACCCAGCACCGGGAGGCAGTGGCATGCAGATCTCTGTGAGAGTTCGAGGCCAGCCTGGTCTACAGAGCTACACAGAGAAACCCTGCCTCCCCCCCCAAAAAAAAAAAAAAAAAAAAAAAAAAAAAAAAAAGGAATACAGCTGCTTAATAGGTAGATGGAACACAAATTTTTATGGCATTACACTGAAAATTTTTCTGAAAGTGACAGTGAACAATAAAAAGTACCATGTCTACACAGGCCCTTTCCTGTCATTCACTACTGAACTGGGGCTACAAGTGATTCTACCTACTCTAACTTTTTAAGTCTGGCTACTGAAAGCTGGCTGCTCCTTGGGCAAGGAGATATGAGAAGGAAGGAACTGGAAACAGTTCAGATTAACAAAAGTCAATTAACTGTTACCGAGAATTTTCCTGGCTAAAGCCGTTCTGACTGAGAAGAAGGTCATATGTGGACTGTAATCTGCAGAATATGAAAGAGAAAGGCAGCTTGTCTCATTTCTTCCAGCTTCCAGAGATGCTAGATTTGTAAGGAACCTTTCCCTGGTGTGGCTTACAGAATTTCATTGCTTCTTCGGTGTACTAAAGAAGGCGCTTGTCAGCCAGGAGACACCGTTCAGAGAACCCCATTACTACGCAGGATGGCAGAGCAGTTTGAAGACATGGCTAGGAATCCCTTATAATCAGGAGGTGTGTTTCTTTCCACTACCAAGAGAAGGTGTTGCCGGGCAGTGGTGGCACATGCGTTTATTTCCAGGACTTGGGAGGCAGAGGCAGGCGGATCTCTGTGAGTTCAAGGCCAGCCTGGTTTACAGAGTGAGTTCCAGGACAGCCAAGGAAAGCCTGTCTGAAAACACCCGCCGGGCTTCCCCCCAAAACAAACAAACAAAAAACCGAGGGAAGGTGTCTATTTACCCAACCTCTCACTGAGATAAGACAGCATAAAGATTACAAGCCAAAAAATCATGGGGGGGGGTGGTTAATTTACATTTCCATGGACTCCAATTCACTTCCCAGTTCTCCTGTTCCCCTGGCTCATCTGTGAGCAAGTGCCCAGGGCTGGAGGTATAGATATCTCACGGCAGAGCGTCTGACACACGTACACACTCAAGATAAGCACCGTAAAGGCGCGGGCAAGGTAAACTGAGGCAGCACTGCTTCCCTTACCCACTCGCGGCCTTTTCAGTGCTCGCCGTGCGTCTTTCTGCATCTTCCTGTCTCCAGCGTGCCCTGTCTTCCTCGGCCGCCTCTGCATCTCCGCCCTCGCACTCCCCGCCCGCCCCATCCTCACGCCCGGCCGGACTCACCTGGTCCTCGCCCCGCACGCGAGGCCGGTCGTCCGGAAGCCCGCCGCCGCCGCCGTCGCCGCCGCAGGGGCCTTGCAGCCCCTCGTAGCCCAGGACGTGAGGGCAGCCGCGGAAGGCGAAGTCTTCGAGCTCGCGCAGGAGTCGCTGCTGCTCCGCCGGCGCCCCGCGCACCACCTGGCGCAGACGGAACTGCACCTGCGCGAAGTGCGAGGACAGCGCGAGCAGGGCCGAGTCCAGCTGCCGCCGCTC